TACCTCACCACAAATAGTATCCATGTAACAGATTGTTGTAATACTCAAAAAAAAAAAAAAAATTATCGATCATATTAAGGATTGCTACAGTCTGCAAGAGTAGATGGAAGAAGAGAGAAGTACCAAAAAGTAAAGTAGCTCATGGAGTTCAAAGATATACTTTGAAACATCAATATGATAAAAAGACTACACGATCTTTAAAGCTAAAGGTGTAAAAAAATATTTGAAAGTGAAATTGTGTTTGGATACTTAGGAAGTATTCTGATTAACACAATGTTGTACTGTTGTATATGATAAAATAAAAAGTTTTATAGTGGTAATTGAAGAGCATTAGATGGGCCACTGAGCCATAAATCCGGCGACTACAGCCGATTTGGGGCAATTAGTCAAGATGGAACATGGGCCAGCCGTGTAACAATCTCAGTCAGTCCAGTCAACTCTTGTTACAGGCTACAAATTTTATCGGCCTTCCTCGTCACGGTTATAAATCTGCTCCAGAGGAGAAAGAAATCAGTTTTTGTTCCATGCCCCCTCCTCCCCTGCCTTCTATATCTCTCCCCTCTTTGAGTGACGTTTCCTTTTCGCGTTACATCGCAGTCACTTCTTATACCACGTGCTTCTTAATGCATTGTTTTTATCAGCTCTCTTTTTTTTCTTTTATTTATTTATTTTTTTATTTGAGTTCAAGATAACTCTAATAATATCCCATTTTTTTTTCATATCTCTTACGAATATCAAGCTAAATAAGTGGCCATCAGAGAAAGTCCATCTAAACCAGGAATAGAACGAATGTACTTTCGTTTAAATGAAAATAATACTATTTTTATGAAGTAAATTTTAGATTTTAATCGGTATAATGTATGTTTTTAATTATTTATTGTATGTCTTTAATTATTTATTTTGTTAGATTAGTTTATTTTTGTTTAGTTTAGTATCTTTTAGTTTATATACATTTACGTTTAGTATTATTTTATTGCTGTTTATTACTTTTATTTATTGTGCATAGTATGAATGAGCTACTGTTTATCACTATTACCATTGTCCTTGAATGTGACAGATTGTAATAAATCTCAATAAACAAATATAAAAAAAAATCGATATAAAAACATTAAAAATTCATTTGTTTATTGGTTATGTTGAAATGGCCAGGTACAATAATAATTGCATGTGAATAATTCCGAGAGAAATCAGGAAATATAATTGGTAGAGAAAAATGTTTGTAGATACATTTCCTGTAAGTCTCGAAAGTCTTTCAATTAACCATTAGCCTATTGCTATTTATTAAACACGTCAGTTTTTTGATCTTACAACAACGTAACAAAGCAGCTACATTTTGAGGTTATATTGACATAGACATAGTAAGTTCAACCAAATTAATAAAATAAATTGGTCCATACTTTGAAATTGCCCTATAAACTGTTTTGACTTGATTTTTATTGACAAAGACTATAATGAACAATTGTAATCGAACGAAAAATTTAAATCTTATCCCCCTCTCACAATTTGTAGTTTTACGTTTCAGGATACATAGAATTCTAAAATAAAATATTCAATCTGCCGTCCGCCCATTTTCTCCGAAACTAATGGACCGATTTTTTTTTCAAATTTGGATTTAAAATTAGAGATCTCCCGAGGATGATTCTCCTTCATCGACATTACTATCCGCCTTTTCCTTTCAAGATGGCGACCGAAAAACCTGCGTTGCTTTTTTAGCGACTGTAGAATGTATCGATTTCAATGAAACTTGGCTAAAGTCTTCCTATACATGCCCTTTAAATTTATCTATATAACATTCTTTAACGAAAAGAAGCTAAAGAAAAGCTTAGAAGGATAGTAAAATTACATTTCGAATAACTCTTTTTGTATACACTTGTTTGTGATAAGATGTTTCAAAGCTATTTAAATTTCCTAAAAAATGAAGAATGTTTCATCGAAATCAAAGCACTATTAGTAAAGAAATCGCGATTTTAAATTTTTTTTTCAATAATGAGTCATTGTAATCAAACCAAAAATTCAAAAACTTAACCCCCTCTCAAAATTTGAGATTATAGTTTTTTTCTTGCTTCGGTCCTGACAAATCTCTAATTTTTATAATTTTTAATAAATTAAAGAGATGATTTAAAATAAACAAGAAAAAACCGCTGTCAAGATTTATGTTGAAGCACCTTATGTAACTAAGATAAAAGTTGTACATAAGTTGTACATATAATTGTGTAAAGTTGTACATATAATTCTATATAACAAAAAAGCACCGCGCTATATATCAAAATATAATAATCAATACAATAGCTTTTAATGTTATAACGACCAACTTTGTTGTTAGATGAAAGGAATCGTGGTTTTGATACCAATTCTTGGAAATATCTCTCAATATCGTTATTAAAACCATATATTCAATTACTTCTAGGTCTGAGTTTGGCTTAACTGCTATAAGCAAGTCTCGACGGTCAATCTTGTTAGTGCTCAATTCTTGTTGGGTCAGTCTTGGTGCTGGTCTTTGTCTTGCTATAATTAGGCGGCCTTTGTCTTGGTTTTGCTATAATCGAAATCGAGAACTGAATTTAAACAATGCTCTACATGTACCCTGCACAATAATTCCAGAATCAGAACAATAATTCTGAAGCAGGGGAGACTGGGTACGGTTGAGACAGTCGTCATTTTAGCGAAACTTTAGGGAATCGCCGATAGGTTTATTAAGAAGAAATGGATCTCGTGATGGACAGTAAGTGGATTTCTTTTATAGCCGAACTTACGGAATCGCTCTAGAAGAGGTCCACAGGATAGAGGTTCGTAGTCGAAGAGTTTTTTCGATGCCGTAATTCTACCAGCATGGTTCCTAAATCATACTATTGTTATTCGTAGTACTACCGAGAAAATGAAAGCAGAGTTGCAATAAAAAAACAAATAAATAAAAATAAAATTTTTTCAAAGGTTTACACAACAGTTGTTTGTAATTACCGATGCAAGGAGTCAAGGATGGTCCATGCTGTTTAATATTAATGATCACGACATTTTGAGGCTGCATAACTGGTGAAAATAACATTAGTGCCACATCTTGCAATTTCTAGTCACGAAAAAACAATAGGTTATGACCGGGGAAACTTCTTACATGATAAACAGCACAGCTGCAAGTATGTATATATTTTTTTCCTGACATAATTTGGTATGGAAACTTTAAGTTATGGAAGGAATATTTTTTCTTTCAGAGCATTAACGCCGAATTATAAAAGGAAAGATTATAAATTAAATTATATTTTTATTAAGAAACAATACATTTAGCATCAAGTCAAGGCACTGGATATTACAGCTTTGAGATACTTATAAATTAAATTAGAATAAAAATATTTGCAAAAGTGCTTAAATAATTCATTATTTATTTTTATTTTGCTCATATTTTTACATCATGAACTTACTGAAATAGTTTGTTAAAGTTTACGAAATCTGAAACACATCATCGGATGTACTTTATATAAAATATGCCATTATAAAACATGAGAGGGAAAGTATGAACTCAGCAATAACGTTTTTCTAAGTTATTTAAATTAATCAAGTAACAGAATAGATCTTCGAAAGTTAAATCCTTAAGTAATGTATATGCATGAATGAATTTTCCAGAATGAACTGATTAATATCCTCCTTATTACTATTATTATTATTTTCCCCATCTACAATAATTATTTACTTCAGTTTAGGTTCTGGTTACTTAGTTATACTTCGTTTATATAGTTTATTGTTATTTTTATAGCTGTTTGTATTTTTAATAACTTTATTTGCATTGTTTAAATTTGTTATCTAAATATCATTTAACTTCCACATTATTTTATATTCTTTTGTATCTTGTTCGTTCTAGTCTTGAAGAAGACCTGCAAAGTCGGGTTGGAATTTTTGCATCTAATAAAATAAAATAGTTTTTCCACAATTTTTGCCATTTTATGAATGCCACCCCAGACTATCTCCTTCCTCAAAAATATACAACGGTCAACCATCAAGTATTTGATCGAATTAGAATTAGTACAACGAAGTATTCAATCTATAACTTTTTTTTGCGATGCAAGTTTAATAAGACTTGTAAATACTAAATAAATTGCTGAATAGCTCCGAAGATAATTTTTTTTTTAAATCAATAAAAAGCTATTTAATTTTTACATTAATCAATTGCCTTAGCTTAACACAGAAATAAATTGCTACATTAATCAATTGCCTTAAATAACCCAGAGAAAAAAAAATGTTCATTATTTATTAACGGAAAGATTAGATAAGTATTGTAAAAAAAATACAAAAATTTCAAGAAAAATTTATAATAAGTAAAAATATCCAAAAGTACAACCCACTGCATAGTAATTAGCACCTTTCTCCTCTGGAAGCACATATCTAATAACCCGATTTTTTTTTTTTTTTTGTTTCTGATTTACATGATTTATTTTTGGAACATTAGTTGTACCCATCAAATATATATGTACACATCATATACATTCATATTATACTTTTTTATTTCTCCATTTATGTCCATTCGTCTCAAATAAATGTATTGCTAGAATTTAAAAATGAAACTTTTATAATATCCTGAATAGGTTTTATCTCTTAAAATTTTATGTTGATAATTCAAAATGTATCCTCACTAAAGTGATTGGTTTCCTTGTATGATCGTTATGTAGTATTGCATAACTTCGCCTTAAAGTAGGCTAAAATTAGATTGTCTATCATCACCTTTGATATTAAATCTATAAATCGAGTCAACATTTACTTTTCTATAGTTAAGTATACCCATTCAAGACTGTAAGCTTATAACACAGTGTAATTTCAAACTACACAAACAAACAACTAAACTTTACAAACTAATAACAAAAGGAATTATTGAAATGACTATAGTAGAATAACAGACCTTGGAACTAATGCGATCACGACTTGAACTGGAACTGCAACGCTTTCAGTGTTATATAATACGAAAACGGCTATTCTGCACAATTCGCTAACCTCAAACCTTCAATCTCAGTTGTGATTTATATCATTATAGCTATGAGGAGGAATAAGAAGAGAAATGTTTTCCTGGACCGTAGTAAATACACCGGGTTGGGGGAACGCAGCGGACAGATGGTGGGATATATCGACAGCAGGAGCGGTTTGGAATGGAGATGTTGAGGACGTTTAGGAATAGACAGAGAGCGGAGGATCACGACGAGCCGGTCTGCCCGGGCCATAAAACCCACTGGAGTGAAGTGCTTCCAGAGGAGAAAGGTCCTAATTACACTCGCTCTTAGCTTATCATCCTCAGGTCTTCGCTGGTCATCCCGGTCTCAAGAAGAAAAAAATCTGGTTTTGCATATATCAAAGAACAAGTGCAGAATAGATTCTAGAATGCAGCAAGAAAATTTGTGAAGCAAATGTTAAAACTTTTTTTTTTAAATTTATCTATATATTCATTTACAGCTTTAATAGATGTAATAATAATTATATGAACTTTGAATTATAGGAAGTAATTTTCTTAAAGAGCCTTTAATTAATTAAAGTAATTTTCTTCAGCCGAGAAATGTAATACGGAACTATTTAGCTGACCGAAAAGAAAAAAAAATCATTTTATTTTTTATGAAATATATATCTGTATTAAAATAAGTATACATCTATCAAATGTGGTATAGAGAAATACGATTGTATGAAAACACTTGCAGATAAACTACGCATTGGTAGCGCTCAACTAAATTTATAAATTAGAAGATCACGAGACATCTTATAGCCTAGTAACCTTGTACATCGTAAGTTGCTTTGGATGGGGGTGGAAGGTTTTTTGTTTTCTTGTGTGGAATATGATTGAGATGCAAAATCCAAGTTTTCGACCTCGACGCCTCCCTCCTTTCCCTCTCTCTCCTCTTCCCGAGATCACTTTTGATTGTCCCAAAAACTGTTATATTTTCGCATTTTTTTTTTGCTTTTCCCCATTTTATTCATGAAGAAGCACGTTTTCGACAAAAATTATTATATATATTTTTAACTAGATTAAGTGTGCTACAGTTTTCAAACCAAAATAGGCTAAGAAAAATCAAATAGTTGACTAAATACAGATTTTTGAGATTTTATAAAATTTTATTTTTCATTTAAATTATTTTTCTTGTTTGATCATATCCAATTGCCTTTCATCTTCAATAACCTGTCTAATATGAGTCAGCAAAGTGAACATTTAATCATTTTAATATTTTGAAAGAGGCATGATGGAGAGGGGAGGGGAAGAATAGCTGGAAGAGGGTTCGCGTGGAAATTTGAATCTGTATCCCGTAAACTATTTGGTTTACTGAGCCTGTTCTGGTGTTAAATTATAGCATATCTATTTTAAAACAGTGTATAACTGTATATGACAATTTTTCGGTACTCAGGGACTTCATTCATCAGAATTTCATGGATAGTAACGAATGACGATTTCATGAATTAACACCTTTCTGCTACAACAACAATTAAACTGATTAAAGAAATTAGTAGGTTTAAAAATATGAGTTTTTTGTTTTTCAAAATTCGATGGAACGAGAATAGATAAATGGTGTTTTGAAGATTTCGACGCGAACATCAATAACCGATATATTTGCTTTGGTATAGTTGCTTTGGTATAGTTACTTTAAATTCTATAATGCTCCTTTAGCGTTACTCCACAATGTTTCATCGATATAGTTTCAGAAGGTATTTCAAATCAACTCAGGCATTTCATGCTCTTCCTGAAGTTAGGTTGTTAGGACGGATTGATTTTGATGGTTTAGCATTATAAACTAGGCAAAGCAAAACTAAGATAGTGGTCCTCATACTTTCATTGACCAAGGCTATATTCCTTCCATCGGTTAATCTTGCTATGCGACCATCAATCAAATGGTTATAGTAGTTGTTTTCAGCAAAGAAATCTATTCCATTTATCTAAATTACTAATGGATTTACAAACTGTTGAGGAATTCAGGAAAAAAATGTAAACGTTCTTTGATTCAAATAAATACCCTCCCAACATCTTTTCCAATAGCTTATCACCTCTACCGATTGGGGATGATAACAAATCTTTACGGGGGAGAGAGGTATCGTACGTTGCCAAGCTAGAATAAGCTAACATCTACCCCTAAGTTTGGGAGAAGTAAATAAAAGCCATCCGTTTGAATTTTTAAGTATATGTTCTTAAAGTACAGAAGAAGAGCGTGAATGGAAAATAAATGCATTTTAAACAAGAAAATATACCTAAAAGTAGAATAGGTATTAAAGTTAACATTCAGATTTAAAATAAAAGAAAATTCGGAATTGAATAATAATAATAATAATAAGGCTTAGCGAACCCGAAGGTTCGATGCCGATACCACCAATCGCTTGTTACACACCTCCTTCCATCGTTCGCCGTCCAAACCCAGTCCCTTCAGATCGGCTTTAATGCAATCTTCCCACCTTCGCTTCGGTCTACCCCTCGGACGCTTGCCATTCGGCACAGCAAATATTAACCTTTTAGGAATTCTCTCGTTACTAAGCCCAACAACTTTACAAGCCCAATTGATTCGCCGCGACGAAATTACCTCAATTATATTATCCGGATACAGCTCACGCAATTCGGCGTTGTGTAACCGTCTGAACTCTCCGGTTAACTCATCCTTCTTCGGTCCGAATATTCTACGCAATACTTTATTTTCAAAAACCTTAAGACGCTGCTCATCCCTTAATGTAAGCGGCCAAGTTTCGCATCCATAAAGAACTGTAGGTAAGATAATTGTTTTATAGATTCTAATTTTTAAGTTTCGGGACAAGAGGCGCGAACTGAGTAGTTTTGTCACAGAAAAATAACAATCATTCCCCGCCTTCAGTCTAACCTTAATCTCTTCTTCAATTTCGTTTTTTCTAGTTATCGTAGAACCTAGATACCTAAATTTATCTACCTGTTCAAACATATTACCATCTATATCGATATCACCAGTAGTATCGCCATTTTTGCAGCTAACCATATATTTTGTTTTATCCACGTTTATTTCGAGTCCTAGTTCTTTACCGGCTTTCATTAACGTTGTCGTATTTAGTTTTATAGTTTCAACGTCTTCGCTTAACAGTACCAGATCATCAGCATAGCCCAGCACGGATGTTGTCCCGCCCAGATCCAACCCTTTCTCGGTTCGCATTACCTCCCTAATGGCATGTTCTAATGCCAAATTGAATAGGACAGGCGAAAGAGAATCCCCCTGTTTTAAGCCCGAACGAACCTCAAATTTTTCGGACAAATTATTACCGATTCTAACTTTATTGAGTGTCTCCGTCAAGCACATCCTGACTAGATTTACTAGTTTTTTTGGAATCCCCTGCTCGATTAGAATATTATACAGTTTCTGGCGGTCAATAGAATCGTAAGCCTTTTTAAAATCTATATACAGCTGGTGAACAATACCGTTATACTCCAATTTTTTCTCTAATATTTGCCGTAAAGAAAATATTTGATCAATTGTCGAACGATTCCGTCTAAATCCGCATTGGTAGTCTCCGATAATTTCCTCGGCGTATTCCGTGATTCGACTGGTTAAGATTAAAGTGAATATTTTATAACATACTGGAAGGAGTGAAATTCCTCGATAGTTATTACAATCCGTCCTCGGACCCTTTTTGTGAATCGGAACAAGAATAGATTCTTTCCATTCTTCAGGTAATTTCTCGTTCACCCAGATCTTTTTAACCAACCTATGTATTTTAGAAACTCCAGCTTCCCCGCATGCCTTAATTAGTTCAGTAGGAATATTATCGATTCCCGCTGCTTTATATGATTTTAATTTTCCGATAGCTATTTCAACTTCCTCTTTACTTGGTCCTTCTATTAACGGTTCAGCACTCTGGTACTCAGAAGGAGGACACAGATCATAATTTCCCGTATTTAAAATATTGTCAAAGTGGTCCTTAAACTTATTCAATATGTCAGCCGGATCGGTCAGAATATTGTTATTATCATCCCTAATTCCAGACGTTACGGGCCCTACATATTTACGTGATCTGTTTATACCTTTGTACATGTCTCTTACGTTATTTTCGATTCTATTAGTTTCTATTTCAATTATTTTATTTTTAAGATACTCCCTTTTTTTATTTTTGAGCAATTTTGTCGTTTCGTTCTTTGAGATTCGGAAGTATTCCAGATTGTCTTCGCTAGGATTATTTAGAGCTTTTAATTTAGCGGCTTTTCTTTTTTCACACATTTTTAAGCAATCTTCATCAAACCACGGTTTGTTATTCTTATTTTCCTTTTTTCCTAGACACGAGTTACCGACCGCTTTAATATTATCCCTGATCTCTATCCATAACTTGTCAATATCCTCGTGGTCCTCGTCAGGAAGCTCTAAAGCTTCAAACCTATTCTTAACATCTAGCTCAAATTGGTTTCTAATTGATGGATTTTTTAATTTTTCCAAATTAAAATTATCAAATTCGAAACGGTTTTCTTTTCTCTTTTTTATATTAAGTTTTTGTCGAAGTTTCGCGATTACTAATTCATGATCCGACCCACATTCTGCTCCGCGATAAGACCGTACATTGATTATACTGCTTTGCCAGCTGTGTTGTATCAAGACATGATCGATTTGATTTCGTGTTTGCGAGTCCGGCGATGTCCAAGTATATTTATGAATATCCTTACGTTTAAACGTCGTACTTTTAATTACCAGGTTTTTCGAGATGGCAAAGTTTATCAGACGGATCCCATTATCATTACTATATTCGTGCAAACTTTCTTTACCAATCGTCTGAATATAAACTTCTTCCCTTCCTACCTTTGCGTTCGCGTCACCTACAATTATTTTCATGTAGTTTCGCGGTAGTTTATCATAAACCCATTCGAGTTTATCGTAAAATTCACTTTTGACTTCATCGTCACTGTCTTCGGTCGGACAATGTATGTTTATTAATGCGATTTTAAACCAACGTCCCTGAAATGTAGCTACCGAAATTCTATCACTAAAGAATTGTACGTCCCTCAAAGCGGATAGTAATCTACTCCTAATTAGAAACCCGGTACCTAAACAATGATTCCCGCTTCCTCCGTACCAAATAGTGTACTTTCCTTCCCTCATCGAGCCCTCCCCTGGCCAGCGAACCTCTTGCAGAGCTACGACATCCAAATTGTACCCATTTACCTCATTCGCGACCGATTTTAGCCCCCCTGCTGTGTTTAAACTCCTTACGTTCCACGTACCAATATTTAAATCCCTATATTTCAACTTGCGGCATGAATCCCCTAAAGCAGTCCCCACCCGGAGACCCGAACGGGGGACTAGTTTACCTCCGGATAATGAGCGTTTTACCTTAGGGAGATCCATGACTTTTTGTGGTGTTTGGTGAACTAAAGATATGTGAGTAGGGCGTTCAATCCTACGTCACACCCTCCAGCAAGTCTGGTGGGCCCCTACCTCCAGCAAGTCTGGAGGTCCCCTCCCTCCAGCAAGTCTGGAGGGCCCCTCTCATTGTTGGTCAGCGAGTCCATCGGACTTAGCCGGGAGGAACTATATATTTTAGAGATGGTAAATGACAAATCAGCATTTTGGGTATATCATGAATATCATTATTGATAATTCAAAAAGACTTGATCGATTGGTCCAAAAGCTGACGAATAGTGAAAAATAGTCTATATCATCAACTTCAGCAGATTCCATTGATTTAATAATTCAAATTGACATAATTGTTAAGAATATAATCTCCGTGAAATATGACTGGCAGTAAACATAAGGAATAGGAGATCATATAAGTTTCTTTTTTTTTTTTTTTTTTTTTTTTTTTTTTTTTTTTTTTTTTTTTTTTTTTTTTTTTTTGGTTTCTTAAATCTATTTATTGAGTAATAATACAATCAGCCACTGCTGGAGGGCTATAAGCATTAGGGCTAAAAGTTCTCATTCATAAAATATATTATATAAGTTTCTAAGCATATATAACTTTTTTTTGTTATTGAATAACAAAAAAAAGTTATATATGCTTAGAAACTTATATAATATATTTTATGAATGAGAACTTTTAGCCCTAATGCTTATAGCCCTCCAGCAGTGGCTGATTGTATTATTACTCAATAAATAGATTTAAGAAACCAAAAAAAAAAAAAAGAAACTTATATGATCTCCTATTCCTTATGTTTACTGCCAGTCATATTTCACGGAGATTATATTCTTAACAATTATGTCAATTTGAATTATTAAATCAATGGAATCTGCTGAAGTTGATGATATAGACTATTTTTCACTATTCGTCAGCTTTTGGACCAATCGATCAAGTCTTTTTGAATTATCAATAATGATATTCATGATATACCCAAAATGCTGATTTGTCATTTACCATCTCTAAAATATATAAATAAACATTACAATACAATTAATTTAATAGTAAAACGTAGAATGTTAAAATTATTTGTAAGTGTAAAATTAGATTAAAGCAATATCAACTGTCGGCCATAGTTCAGAGTTTTCTTTTTGTGATTTTGCTGACCTGCTTGAAATAAAAAAAAACAACAAAATTGCCGTTAAAATATCATCTTTCATTTTTATGAAGATGGAGAAGTGAATTGTGAATCCAGAAAATAATTTACTGACATCTAATTCATCCGGTTTCAGTACTTACCAGTAATTTATTCTGCCAGATTTGAAATTGGCCTGGTATTATATTACGCATTGAGGTTGCAACCAATCATTATTTTGATAGCGGAGCGCATTTGCACCGCCATTTCTAACTGTGATATCAACCATATAATTTAGTTTAGGTGCCAATAGATCCTAACCATGAAAAGATTTGATATCACCTCAAGTGTGGTAAGTATATTAAAGTGGATATTGACAAGATAAAATTTAAACCATGTTGAAAACTTCAGCGATTTGAAATAATCCCACATCCAGATTACGCCATGTTTAATAATCTTTATTAGTTGTATCATTTGTTAGGTATATCCTTTATTAGATTTCTCCATTAGATATATCATATTTATAGCAAAACTGTAGATTTATGTCGGAAAATAAAACACAATCTCCACTAACCGGATTCCGATTGGCTCCGCCACTGACACCAGAGTGTGAGGTATTGCTCCAACATTAGCACTTGATGGCCTTGCAAGTATATTAAAATATTGAAAATTTTGTTTTATGCATTGTCTACATAGTATTCCCGAAGAACTAGACCAAACAATATACATTTATATCCCAATTATTCATGTTTTACTAATTTATTTATTCTGATGACGATATCGCTTATTCGGTGGGACAGTGGTATAACTGCAAATCAAAAAATTTTAGAAGAGCAGAACAGTAAGTAGATAGCTCGTGGTATAGACCACTTTTTGTCAAATTATTAACATCCACATAAAACTTCGTAAATGGTTTATGGATTATGGATATCTTATTTATTTCATTCTAACCTACATTTTTTTTATTTAAGAAAATTATCGGAATTTGGACGTTTTAAATGTTTTAAAGATCGGCAAACATTGTATATTTAATTAGGCATGAAAACTAATGAATAAATGGGCATTCTTTCCACTTGTAAGACAGGCACTCCAATCGTAAGATAATTTTATTACAAAATCGAGAATATACTCTACAAAAATATTTGACCGTTTGGCGTCTCCTCCAATCTCAAACGTCAAAATAACTATGTTACAAAAGCAAAACGGCCCAATATTTTTGTAGACCACCTTTTGTGTCGATTTTGCGATCAAATCATGTTACGATTCTGGTGGAAGCAATTGGGTATTTATGAGTAATGAGTACTTGGTTGATTAAATTAATTTAATTAGAAAACGTCCCATTTCTGAGAATTTTCGTAGATAAAAATTTGCAAGTTAGAATAAGATAAATATAAGATAAAGAGCCATTTACGAAGTTTTAGGCGGATCTTAATAATTTGATACAAAGCGTTCTGTAGAGCGGACTAAGATATTTATTAATATTTAAGTAAAATTATTTTTAAAATTGAATGTAACAGTGTAAAATTCTACTATCCAATTTATCTATTATCAATTTCTATTTAAGTATTACCATATTTTTGTTGTATTACGTATGCTATGACGTCAATTCCTTTAAGCACGTATTTCTTACAAATTTAACGTGATAAATATTTTTCCGAACTTCTATGATATAACGGACGAGAGATATGGTATAAATTGATTTATTAACTTGAATAATAAATCCAAAAATCAAAACCAATAACACAAAACAAAAACATACTTATTTTTAACAAGTCTACCAAAGGATAAATGTCGATTAACTTTTTTTTATATATTGTAAAAAAATCATCTATAAAACATGCGGTTTGTTCACTTTTTTTTAACTCTCGTAAGTCAAAACAAATATTAGAAATAAGAAACCGGTTCAATTAACAACTCATTCCAGAGATAAAGCAGTCACTCAGACCTTTTTAATTGGACTAAATACGGATAGACTGCTTGGAATCCTTAGTGAATCTGAGTGCTTTTATATCTTTAAAAGATTAGAGAATTGCTTCAATAAAACCCTGTATAATCTTGAAACCTGATAGGCAAATGGTCATGTTGAACCAAGGAAATGCATAATTCCAAATATGCTATCAAAAATGAATATCATTAACAAGCTACTAAGTATATAGAAAACAAAATATTTAACATTTTATGAATTTAAAAAAAAAAGAAAAAAAAAAAAAAAGAATAGGCTTTTATAGAAGTTCTAAGGAATTTTCCTGTAAGTAAATTTTTGGATTTATTGTAAAAGTTCAGCTTTTAACTATATTTTTACAAGGCGAAAATGTTAAATGATAACTAAGTTTCTTTTGTTTGAGAGGGTGTAAAATTGCCGTGTTTTAACTTTATTTTTGGCGAAATGAATCGCTTTAACAGAACTTATTAAAAAAATAAAATTCTAGTGAACAGCTCCATGATAAAAAGTTCCAGTTCCAAAATAATAGATAAACAAACCAAAATAAAAATTTTTGTCATATCGAAATTGATTAAAAGTAAAATTTAGATGTTCACTCCAATCTCTGGTATAAACTAATCAATTTATAAAATACCATCAAATTGGCAAACAAATTGTTTGCATGCCTTCAAATAACCAACCTATATAACAAAATTTAAATTTTTCTGACTATGTTTTTTTGGAAATTTTAATGTTTTAAATATTTTGTACTTCCAATTAATTGTTAAATTTCATCTGATGTAATATAAATAATGTGTAAGAACTAAAATGACCAGTTAGAGGCTGAAGAGCCCGCCAATGTTATTAAATAAATAATTCAATTTATACAAAAGAAAATATTTAATTTTTTTTTGTCTCGATAATAATATCTTAAGCATCAATTTAAAATTATGCTTTAAATTCCTCATTTACAGCCCCATATAACAAAAAAATTCCATAAGTCCTTTTAATTTTCTTTAGGACTCATTATGCACCATGCAAAAAAGAATTGTCATTGTCTTTCCAATCTCCTTATAGTATTCATAGGCATATATGAATAACTGAAAATATATTTTCTATTTGTCTGTTGCTATGATCGCTTAAATTGGAATGAAATTTTCAGTCAAGCGTGGTCATGTGTCGATAAAATGTTAAAAGGTTTTTCAAGTTACCTCTAATTAAGTGTTTTGATTAACAAGTTGGATTTTGTAAGTACATAGTGATTAAAGTAGTTTTTTATTAAAGGTTTTATTTCTGTTAAACATGCTGGCAAGAAGCAATAAATATCTCATTATTACAGCTATGTTTGCAGCATATACAATGTAAAATAACCAGTATTGAATCCTCGTCTCCTGCCGAGATTGGACGAATTAATAAAATTTCCGAACACTTTCGCCTAGCTAAAAAGAAAATTGAGAAGGAAGAGGTAGTGTCTGAACCGTCTTAAATCATAAAAGAACTCACAATGATATTTAATTAAGTTAATGATCTTCTGTTGCTACCAGATTCTTCTCAAGTTAATTGTTAGATTCGCAATCTAGTGTCACGAAAACAGCTAAATACCTTAACCAAGGCCCATAACTACACTGGGTAAGTGAAGGTCCCCAATAGGGGATAAAGAACAGTAGGTGCCTGGAGGAGTAACGCCGCTACGACCTGTAACATACTCGGGAATCGTGACATGGTCATTTAGAGCCTTAAGATGACCACATGCAGCTTTGGTCTCCACGAGAGGTTACAGATATGTAAGATACCAGAGCCATCCTACACCGAAAGCAACAGTTCGTGGATTGGAACAGATATTAATTATTAAAAAGAAAGCTCAATTATAAAGTTTTATTTTAAAATTTAATTGCTTGAATTTACGATTATATTTTCATGCAGAAGAAGTTCTTTGGCGTTGCGGTAAAGAGAGAAAACACAAAAGTGAGAGTAAAAAATCTGTTAATGAATTCCGAAAGGCCTAAGGCGTGTGCAAAACACTTGATGCCTGGCAACCTGGTAAACCGAAGATATGATGATAAAACAATTCCCTGTTCGCGACCTGGAGCCGGGGAAGGGGAGAAGGGAACTTTTAACATTCGCATTAATCCCTCGCCTTTTCTCCTGACTAGAAAAAATCTTATAGCCTAAAAGACGAGGAAGAGGACAGAAAAAATTTAGATTAAAAAAAATACTTTTTCTATAAATTTTATCAATTTTTACATTATCATTTAAACACGAATAATTTGGCATTCGTTATTTTTAATATTCATAATTAGTTATCTATAGCATTAAATATTTTTCTCTTTTCATTAAATTATTTTACTTTTAGTTAGGAACAATATGTTATTGAAATTATTATATTGAAATTGCGGCAATTGAGCTTTGTCAAACTTACGCAATTATTGTTTAATAATATTTAATTTTACGTTAATATAATGTTTACACTAATAGCCGTTGGAGACTTTTTTGAAAAAAGATGTAAAATCAATGGAATTTCTGGTTGGTTTCAATTTTATCAAAGAAGTGGCAGTTTCATTCCAGTCATCTTGACTGTCTTGAATAGGATATTGCAATTACGTACTTTATATTTTTGAGCAACGCTTTTCATACATACAAAATATTTTCTCAAGACCTGATTGTTTGGACTTACAGAACTATAAAATATGAATTTCTGTTGAAAACCTGGATTCGAACTTTATCAAGATCACAATACCTTAATTTATATATACACACACACATACATGACAGTAAAAATTAACAATGATTAAGTAGTTTATATCGAAAGTGAGTCCTAATTATCATTAAGAATTATTCAGGGAACGCTAAAAACTATATATTTTATCCCAATTATAATATTAAAACAAATATTTTTAAAAGTTTAAGATAAGAATTATTTGCTGCAGAAATTTTCGAAAATTTTTATTATTTAAATATAAATTAAAAAACATTAAAACTTAAATAGGGCTCCATTTGGAACGTATTAAACTTCAAAGTCAAAAAAGGTTGTTTAAAGTTCGGTTTCGAAACAAAAAATGTTGTATGACTCGAACGAAAAATATATTAAAATTGCACTGTATAAAATTGAACATTGTACTTTCAATAGGGATGTAATAAAATTAAATTATTTTTCATTCATAAAAGCAGTTTAAAAAATCTGTCGAAAAATTTTGTTTAAAATACTTTAGAAATGCAAGTATCATCTGTTATATTTCTTGGCTAAGGGACAATTTTGGAAAAAAAATATTTTCACACAAATCTTAATCCTTAGATTAGTTTTTTAAAAACAACATCGGATTTATTTGCCGTTTTTACTTAGGAAACAATAGTTCTTATGCAATATACAATATTTCCAAACCAATAGATTTGCATTCACTTTGAACATTAGCGACTTAGTTGTAGCAATAATTAAATATTAACTTTTTTTTCGTAATGGTTAACAAAAATAAACTATATCTAAATCCAAGCGGCTTGTAATTGTGTGGTTTTACGCCGTTAGCGACAAGCTATAAATATATAATATTTTATTTTAAATTTTAAACATAGTAATTTTTATTAATTTGTTTTTTTTTTCTAAAAGTAGAACATTTATTTTTAAGTATAAAAAGAATTTGCTCCAAAATCACTCTTGTGTTGATCAAAAAACATGGTGACATGTTCAAAAAGAAGTTTCCATATAACATAGAATATAAAACTTGTTTTTACTGTTTTCCGAAAGCTTGAAAATGAAAGAGGTCAATTTTTTTTTTTTCAACCCTTCAATATTTTATATATTTTTTTCAAGAGAGAAACTAACCATCAATAACTCCATATCTGTAAATAATAACTAGGACGTTAAATAGGAAATCAAAGATCTAGAAAGCGTAATAACATAGCTCTGATACTAGAGACGTAGAAACACAGAATAATATCTATTAAACCCACAACATTAAGTAGGTTTGTACTTTCACCTGAATAGCAATTAGCTGAATTATGATGGATGAGGCGGATACTGAAAGGTAAATTATAGGCGTTGTGACGGAGGTCGTATATCCAAGGAGGCAGTTTGGAATCAGAGCACCTTTCCATCGGTTTCGAAACTTGGCCGAAGAAGGATTATCAGCGGGGGTGGAAGAGTCGACGGCTTTAATCCTCAGGATCGGAAAGAGATCTAATAAGGAAGAGGAATCCTGGAAATGCAGGGGCCTGGAGTGGAAGACACGTGGGGTGTGCGACCTTCTCCTCGGCATCAAATATATAACTGACTGCACTCCAACCGGTCCATCTGCATCTAGCTCCCACCTTCCGCGCCCTTTCAACAACCCGATAGAACGCTTAGAGATTTTAACTCTCGTCCATATTATTATTTTGCCGCTATTATATATATATTTTTTTAAACTTATTTTTTGAAAAATATTACAATCTGTCTCAAAGACATTTATAATAGTGTTCAGAAAACACATTCACACTCTATGTACAATAAATAAAATAAATTATACAGGAAAATAATAAATATATATATATATATATATATATATATATATATATATATATATACAATAAATGAGGATAAAATAAACTAAAAATAAATAAATAAAAAGAACACGTACATACATATATGCAATATTTACAATATTTACAAAAGAGAACTCGAAACCAGACTTGTCCCTCCAACCGTAGAGGAAAAAGCATGACTCCAGGAGATCCCTGCACTTCTCTCTAAACCGCATCACTGGGGCTTGATCCAGTGGAGATTGAGCAAGAGTGCTGTTATTATATTTAATGCATTTTTTTTTCTTCATTGGGTTATATTACATTCTTTCACAATTAAAGACATTAATAACTATGATAAAAGAGTTCATTCACAACATCTTTACAATTATTAAAAAAATGCATTAAATATAATAACGCATTTTTTTATTATTAATTGTAAAGAAGTTCTGAATGAACTCTTTTATCATAGTTACTAATGTCCTTAATTGTGACAGAATGTAATATAACCCAACGAGGAAAAAAAAAATTCTGATCAATTGTGTAGTTTCAATGTGAAGTATTTTATGTTATGGTTGGGATCTATATGTATTTAAATATTTTTTCCAAGTCTTATACACCCTTCTTCGACAGTTTATTTCACGGTTTTACAATTTCAAATAAAAAATAAAAGACTACTAAAGAAATAAACCTATTCATCCTAGACTTTTAGGGAAATTGATCTTTAAAATACATAAATTTGGTATAGTAATCAAGTGCCTTACATTCCTGAAAAAAAACTCTTTTTCAGTAAATACACCAGTATATGGAACGAAATTCACAAGCCTCGAGTCATAATGTGTTAAAAAACAATATGTATGCTCTATTAATTATTTGCAAATAATAAACCATATGTTGAGAACCTGTGGCCTCTAGGCCGCATGTGAGTACCGTGGCGCATTCTAACGCTAGAATTAATTAGTATTTAATTATTTGATTTTTTTTTCTTTTTTATTGGTATATATTACAATCTGTCACATTCAAGAACAATAGTAATAGTTATATATAGTAGCTCATTCATACTATGCACAATAAATAAAACTAATAAACAGCAATATAATAATACTAAACAAAATGTATATAAACTAAAAGATAGTAAAATGAACAAAAATAAACTAATCTAACAAAATAAATACTTAAATACACACATGAATTATTTAAGTAACGAAAATTTGGAAATTAATAGAATTAAGTTGAATACATGTATATGGGTGTTTATATTCGGTGATAAATAGAAAACATCTGGTGCGCGCAACACAGAACTTTTACTAACCACTATCCTTTAAATAGCAATTATTTTCTAGTAATATTGGGCTATTATAAAATTTTTGAAGTGAATTTTCAACCGAGCTAAACCTTACAGCTTACAGCTAACAAATCATTACTACCATTAAAATAACAAAAATCCTATTTATTACATCAATAGTTAATTATGGATAGTAGGACTATTAGTAATTAAACTATTATTTTTATTTGTAAATGTTTATTGAAATGGAATTACGATATTTGTATTTCCTGTCATCAAATGTTGTCACAGTGATTGTAAGTGGCTACTATTGGAATATCACAAAGGAAAAATTAAACAAATTATTCACTAATTTAATTTTCTAAAAGATTACATGATAATTTTTCGGAATAAACGGATGATAAATACCTAATTATTTAAACATAATACATACATCACCAGTTATTAAAATCCAGTAAATATATTTAAGGATATAAACATATCTATAAAATATTTGTATATTTCACTTATTCTTTCACACACGTACAATGAAATAGGATTTTAAACATCATTGCCTTGATTCCGTGGATTGTAAATACTTTTTGTCAAATTGTAAAAAAATGCTTAAAAGTTTACATTTAGTAAGAATTTTTCACAGGTGATTTACGTTAAATGATGTTGATTTTCAGATTTTTGTTTTTCGTCAATCACCGTTAACTTCCACAACTTTATTTATTCAATATTATTTTTTCAAAAATTCTCACATTTTCATCGCTGTATTATGCGTATAGTTTCTGACTATTATTTACGGTGATTCATTTTCAATTTCATTTTTTGTTTTTTTATCCTTAATGTTGAACATTGGGCATTCAAGTCCAGTAAAGTGACATCAATGGGTATAAGACCACTTATAATGATAATGAGACCACTTATGATGGATATTGAAGACCACTTAATTATACAATGATACACCGACTTTAATCAAAATCGTTAGAGCCGTTTTTAAGAAAATTGTAAAAATGAATAACCGTTGTTATAAAGTGGTACTTCCGGTTATCCGATTTTAAGGAAAAGGTTGGTACATCTAAGGCATATACCTATCTTAAATACCTAATATCAGTTTCGTACGACTTTTCGTTTTTGAGCTAGATACTGTTCAGATACACACAGACCATTTTGCAGAACTTGGTTATTTGGTCTCAGGGGACCTCAAAACGTGTATTTGCGTTGAAAAAGATTCGAAAATTTTCACGATCACAATACTTACCCATACTATATATTACATATATTGGTGAGTGAAATTCATAGCAACAGTAAATTATAAGGAATTGTTACAGCCTCCATTAACATTACATAACCTTACTAAAGGCTCTAATTATAATAAGGTTTCCCATCTGTATAGTAAAACATTATGTAATAATGATTTTTTTAAATAGTTGTTGTGGTTTTTTTTCATTATTCAGAAGTCCTTTTTAAAAAAAAAAATATTTCGTTACTTGTGAATATATACACTATATCTAAAAAACTATTTAGAGTATAAACAATAAAACGGAGGTTTTCGTCAATAAACCAGAAACCAATTTAAATAATTCGATTTAGAAAACTAAATAATAAAAAGCGATCAGTTATTTGCAAGTTACATTCAAAGTTTGGAACAGATCGAGGCAGGAAGAACAAGACTTCAACTACATAAATATCCAGCTTCCTGGATATGTCAAAGATCGATGCCCTACACCCAAGTTCCGCACACTGACAAGAAATACGACAGCCAAACCCGGCCACAGTTAAGAGGGATGACTTATAACTGCGTGCATTGAGGATGTCAGCCCACCGAATTCTGTAAGCCATCAATACTTCACCGCCTGGAGGGCTCGGCAATTAATATTTAAGCAACTAACGGGGCCTCTTCACGATCCTGTTATGTCTGAGTGACTTCTTCCCCGCTCCAGCGGCCGAGATAAACGTCTCTGCGTGTACCATGATCTCTGCAACAGTCTTTACTTAAGCGAGTTCGAGTCATCCACTACTCCACAAGAAACTATAGCTAATCATTTTCATCTCTAACGGTACTGTATAAGGAGATGTTGCAAGTCATTAGATCGTTTTTAATACGTCACTCTATATATAAATAGGTATATTTTTTATATTTGCGTCATCAATGACTTAGTCATAATTTTTAAAATTACCTTCTTCCGCTTCAGTACTGAAAGGAAATCTCATTTCACAGAAATATCGAAAAAAAGTTATGACACGGAAAACTTTATTTACGTATAGCTCAGACATTATTCAGTTCATTTGACCCGATCGCAATACTTGCCTTACCTAGTATAGGTGTCGAAAATTAATAAATTAAAACACGTCTAGAAAATTGAATAATTATCTATTAATTGAAATATTAATAATTAAACAATTGTAGCGTTTATGTCATACGATTTTTACTTTCACTTACCTATATATGTAATATATAGTAAGGAAAAGTATTGCGATACACGTTTTGAAGTCGCCTGAGTCCAAATAACCAAGTCCCGATAAATGGTCTGTTTATATGTTTGCGTATATGGTTGAAATTGTCTAACCGAAAGTGTCACTTCATATCAACGGTGATACACATATTTACAATTTTCTTAAAAACGGCTCTAACGATTTTGATTAAACTCGGTGTATCATTGTATAATTAAGTGGTCTTTAATATCATTTAGATCTTATTCCTATTTATGTCACTTTACAGGACTTAAATGCCAAATGTTCATATAGGTCATCCACTAAACTACCTTTAATTTAGTTTATTTTAAATAATTAAGTATTTCTCATCGTTAGGAATTATGAAAAAAAGGATAAATATGTTTTAAAATCATTTGATAATTTAATAAAGGAGAAAAAATGCTTATCCAGGTCGAAAAGTAATCTCGGAAAATACTAATCAGAAGGTATACGTATAATATATCGTTAGAAAGCGGAGAATTTTTGGTAATGGCATTGATTAAGATACCATTTCATTGTATTTGTGTGAAAGAAGAAGTGAAATATAATAATATTTTATGGATATGTTTATAACCTTAAATATATTTACTGTATTTTAATAACTATAGATCTGATATTATATTTAAATAATTAGGTATCTATCGTCCATTTATTACGAAATATTGTCATTAACCTTTTACAAAATTAAATTAGTGAATAATTTGATGAATTTTCCATTGTGATATGCCAACAGCATCCACTTACAGTGTAATAACTTTTGACCTGTCAATGACAGACAATGCAAATCTCGTAATTCTATTTTAGTAAACATTGCAACGGAAAAAAACAGTTTAATAACTAATAGATGAGTAATAGTCGAACAATCCATGTTATATAATAAATAGGATTTTGGTTATTTTAATAGCATTTATGATGTGTTAGCTATAAGCTTTAAACTTTAGTTCGGTTAAAAATGCAATTAAAAAAAATTATAATAACCCAACAGGTCCAGAAAATAATTTCTATTCAAAGTTG